CGACCCGAGGGCAGAATGGAACACTGAAAATGTAAGCTTGGCCAGCTCCTGATAATCACTCGATGCCCCTGGACCAGTCCATTTACTCTGATAATTGATAGAATCACTCAGTTTATCCTGCCTATCTTAAATTTGTTTCAGGGAAATTGTTGATAAAGTACCTTATAGAAAAATTTTAACTATACAGAAAGAATGATAAAGTCACCATTTCAATCCTTAATGAAACAACACATCAGGTAACCATCAACGATAAGCCATCAGGTTGACCTTTAGGTGATAGATTAATGGTGAACTTTAAGGTAGCTTGACCTCTGAACCCATTGATGAAAGCATTCCTGAAAGTTGGACAGCTAGACCTGAGCCGCCTCAAGGGGAGGTGACTGAGCCCCCCCTGTGAAGATCTGAAGAACCCTGCATTTGCCCAGGCCTCTGGAGGCAACTGCCCATTTATGGAAATAAGGACGGGACTAAAGTGAAGGATGAGGGAGGTGCAAACAGCTGAATGCCGGCTATTAGAGGAGACATGTGACCTGGTTCCAACCAATGAATGGCAGGAAGGATAAAAAGGTGGAAGGAGCTCATGAACCAGAAATGATTAAAGAACAGCCAAATAACATGGTTCATGCCTAGACCCTGAATCAAACCACAATGTGTGAACAGCGAGGATGGGTGTGTCCTGCAAGGTGATCTTCCAGAAATCATCAAATGTATGGGTCTAGCTCCCAACACTGCTCAGATGCTAGCTGAAAGGTTGGCAGTTCAAAGCCACCCCCCGGGGGACCTGCAGGAGACACACAGACCCGACCAGCTGCTCATGGAAAGAGAACACACTATGGGGCAGCTCTGCTCTGAGTCATGTGATGGCACCTAACTTAAGGTGACCAGACGTCCCGCTTTTGGCAAGACGGTTCCGATTTTTAACAATTTTTCCCACCTGCAGTGTTTTAAAAAAGTCCCGATTTTTGGAAAGAATGCACAAGCTAGGGTATATGGTTTTCGGCTGCCATGTGGCTATTTCGCCAGGATCTGAGTTTTATCAATGGTGTCCCACTTTTGTCCTGCTTTACCAATGTTAAAATCTGGTCACCTTAACCTAACTAGAACATTAGGTGAGCTCTTAAGAGCATTCCAGTTGGCAGTGTCAGAATTATTGTGCAGGATGCCTCAGTATGCCTCTAATGCTGATAACTAATTCCCTCATAGCCACGCCTCCTTCACGAGTTTCAGACTTTGCTGTCCGAGGAGGCGCAAGCAGTGAGGGAGCTCCGCAGCTCAAGGGGCAGGCCGAGCCGAGTGCTCTGCCACAGACCCACTCTCACCAGTCCGGGGCTGGAGACGCGATAATGTGGTCTCTAAAGTGTCTCTGGTGACGCGATAATGTGGTCTCCAAAGTGCCTCTGGAAAGCAAGGCTGAGAGACTGCATTTGAAGGAAAGGAAGGCACACAATAATTTTCACAGGACAGGTGTTTACTGTGCTACTGTCTGTACAACACATGGCATGTTGGTTAACCCATCAAGTCCACAAGAAAAAAGGTAATTCTTGAGAGCCAAGTTTTGCAGACAGGATGGCACACCCACACGTCTTCATGAGAATTGTAAAAGTGACGTCTGGGCAGCGTCAGGCAGACAAGCTCCAATACCGCACCCTGGGAAACTAGGCGTTGTCTGCTTGAAAAGTCTCTTCATGCAGGAGCCAGTTCCCTGCAAACGAGGACGGCTCGGGTGCATTTACCAGATAGCTCGCTGGACCCCAGAGAGCTGCCCGTGGTCAGCTAAGTGGCGGAAGACGATCCGACTGAGCCTCCAGCGCCGCTTCACACCACGGGGCCGAGACGTCAAAACACAGCGGTTCCTGATCCTGACAGGACAGCTGTCCCGGGGGAGGGCAGCGATTTCTTCATCAGCCACTTCCTGAGGGAAAGAGTCACATCTGTTTATGCTGGATGCTTAGCTCCAAGTGCACAGAAGAGAGAGGAGAGAGGGTCGGGACTCAGTGATGCTGCCCAAGAACCCTGGACAGGGGCGAACTTCAACCTTTGGCCGGAAACAAAGTGACCGTAAAGCTCTCGGACATGTTGACCGTGCTCACAACCTCACTTTGTCAACAGTGCACTGAAGACAGTCGTCCACACGTGCTAAGGACAGTGAGTGTACACACCTGCATAGCCATGGAGCCAGCATTTGGCTTAGGAACATCTCTCTCCCCCTCCCAGTGACCAACTGAGCCCTGGGGGAGCAGCCAACTGCCCACTAACCGCAGAGAGGGGTTTTCCTGTTTTATATTTTATACATAACTAACGATATGGTATGCACTTTTTTATTCATTTCTGTTTGGCTTCAATACGCTTGGGAGCTTCATCCATATTGTTGCATTTTGGAAAGATTTGTTCATTCTCGCGAGTGGTAATTTTATGGGAATGTACTATAATCCACTGACCTAATCTACAGCCCAGGCATGCATGAGTAGCTTCTAAATTACAGATTTAGAGCAGGAGCAGGGTCACAGAACTTTCAAACCTGTGGCTCTGAAGAGGGGGTGATCGGATGAGACTGACATTTCTTAGAGATCACTTGCAACACAGAGAATGGACCAGGCCTGGAAACGGGCGAAGGGGAGGGCGATGAGGACTAGTTGAGCAGAAAGGACAAGTGCCAGTGTGGTGGGTTAGCATTTTGTCAGTCGAGCTGTATTCTTGGGCATGTGCTTGCAAGTATGTGTGTACATTTTATGACCAGTGTTCTTACAGACTTGACACTGTGCTAAACTATAGTAGAAGCAAAATGATTACATTAAAATGTATATAAATTAAATGAGGTAATCATGCAGATTTATGGGCAGCAAGATTATAGCAGCGCTTGATTAATGAATGAATGCCTACCTACCTACAGTATTTCTTTTTCCCCAAAACATCTAAGGCAGTTTACAAAGAGGAAACTGGGCAGAGGGGACATGAGAGAGCAGAAGGGCAATAGCCCCAGGCTAGGAAAGTCTGTGCTGAGAAGGCCGGCAGTTTGTTGGAACGGGGACATCAATTGGCCGGGTAAGCTAGCTGGCAGGCCACATTCAGTCTCTGCCCAGCTCCTGCTGAGGCCTCCGGATCTTCATAAATAGTGGCCTCAGGAGCACCTTTCGCTGGATTTCTCGGTGGTTACTTATTACTCCCTAAATGTACACAGTCTAAAGCCAGAGGGTCAAAGCCCTAACAGAGTGGTCGGGGCGCTCTGCTGACCGCTCATCTGGCTTAGCCCAGACGAGACTGTCACCAGAGAGGTGCAGGGTCTTACGCTTTCAAAGGCATGCAGGAGCAGGACTGAGCCTGATGGGCAGGCGCTCCTGGCGCACAGAGGTGATGAGCACAGCACACGGCATAGCGGAACGGCCACAGGCAACAGCAGTTAGTCTACATGCTAGGCATGTTGGCTTATGTGTCAGAAAGGCTGTCAACCCAAAAGCTGAAATTAAGCTGGGGAGACCTTAGGTCCAAGAGTGCCCAATATTCTACATGATCTCTTCCTAAGGATCGAGCCCGAGGAGATAACGGAAAGGCTACTGTTGTAGCTGTCTCATCTGAGCCTTTCCAAGGGATTGCTTTGTACTGACTTGCAATATCTGTCCCACACAATTGTGGTCCTAAATCATTACAAACACTATCAAATGATTTTGTGATCCTAACGGACTCAATTAACCAACCTGAAGGGCTCTTGGCAAAACGGAGTTCTTCCTGAGTGAATTGATACGCAGTCTCTCATCTGCGTACTCATGGGCCGTTTTTCGTCTTTTCACATCTCGCAGCATTCTCCAGTCTACATAGTAACCTCGAACTTGGCCTGAAGCTGATGAAGGAACCATCTAACGGACAAAAGGCAGGAACAGTGAGGCCAGTCACACCCAGGCCGTGTCCCCCAAGCCTGTAATCCTGCTAGTCACTATTTATGGCCTAGTATTTAGAAGTTGTTTTAGATCACCTGAATAGTAATTTAAAAAACAATGGACGACTTCCTATGGATGTACCCTAAGGAAAAGTGGTAATAATTAATATACTGCCATGTTGGAAGGCAAAACATTTTCAGAGTTTTTCCCCCCATCATTTCCTTTGACTGAGGCTAATAATCACATTCATTCATAAAGTTTTCAGTGGCTAATCCTTCAGAAGCAGGAAGCGTATTTACTCCTTCCAGTCTGTTAGTCTAGATCGAAGCTTGTGGCACACAGCCACACACTTCACCACAATGACAAACTGACAGACAAGTGGTTTAGCTGTCACACAAGAAGTACAGTCCGATGCCCTTAGAAGACGCTCGTCTGTGTACTCTGGACATGCAGTCAGAAGAGAGAAGCCCTGGAGAGTAGAGGGGCAGTGGACGAGAGGAAGCCCTTCCAGGACATGGACTGCCACAGTGGTGATAAGAGTGGGCGCAAAGATGCCGATGGCGATGCGGGACTGGGCAGGGCTTCCTCCTGTTGCACGTGAGTTAGCTCCGATGTGATGGTACCTAACAGTCACACAGTTCAAAATAAACAGACACACAGAGAAGTCGCCCTCTCACCTCATCTCTCACCTGTCAAGTAACTACCACCCGCCCACAAAGGTAACCACTATATTAACCTGTGTACCCTCCAGAGGATTACACCCCTCCCCCATGGGAACCCCTCCCTTTTGTACTTTTACTGAACATCTGTCTCTGCCTCACTCTCACTCACTGCCATTGGCTCAATCCTGACTTTCCCTCCTACCTGTATGCCCAAGTGTCCCTTTTGAAAGGCTGCACAGTGGAAAGTTGCCTCCCTAATTCATTGAAGCGTTGGCTTATTATAGGTGGGCATGTTAGCCATATCTCACAGTTTATCATTACACACAAGACTGCAGTGCATAACCTGCATCACATCACTTCCTATGTGTATCCTGTATGTCCAAGATAAATTCTTGGTAGCCGAATTTCTGCACCAAAGGCACCTTGAAATTACCGTTGGCCTGGTATTTCGTAGCACAGGTGGCCTGTAATAATACTAGGACCTCTATTAATCACCTTTTATTCACATGATGATCGTTTGTAGTTCTGATCGCTCAGGCATAGGGAATGTAGACCCTGAGAAATATCCTTTCTCAAACAGGAGCAAACATTACATGCTATCTAAATTGTAGCAACACAAAATAATAGTGGTTTCCTATATCTGTTCCTAGAAGAAACACAGTGTACAGTAGAAAACTTAAAATGACAACACTATCATGAAAACACAACATTCTAAAATCTATTAAGTAGAACAACTTTATCACTTTGGGAAATGCAAGCACCCTGGTGGCACTGTGGGTCAGGCACTGGGCTGCGAACCACAGGTGGGCAATTCAAACCGACCAGCTGCTCCTTGGGGAAAAGAGGAGGCTGTCTGCCACTATAAAGGTTTACAGCCTCGGAACACATAGGGTTGCCATGAGCTGGCATCGCTGGATGGCAGTGGGTTGATTTTTCTGGAAATAAGGAGAGGATTTAAATATCAATTTGGCACATGGTTGAATTAAATGAAAACAACTTGGGGGTATAAGGGAGTGGTCACTGTTTTAGGGGCATAAACGGGGTGGAGGGGCGCTTAAATAAGCTTTGGAGGATTGACAGAATTTTAATACAGCTGGGAGGCAAATGTGGAAATAAGCAAGTTAGTATATTCGTCTGACCCCAAGGAAAGCACTGGCTAAGGGGAGCAATTCTTGTGGAAGGGAATGCAGTTTACATTTGCCTACAAAAGACAAAGTTACAGAAACTCACAAAACAAAAGCACAGGGTTTTTTTCCCAATCTTTTAAAAAACAATTCCTAACTTATTTTTCTATGTCTTCTAAAAAGGTGTCTTTATTTTAAAATGTCTTCTTTTTTTAGATAACCTTTTCTAGCTAAAAAAAATAATACACCCTAAAAATAAAACATCAGCTTATATTCTCTGTGACTGTGCTGTCTTTTGTCCGTTTTTCTCAGGCAGTGCCAGTGTTTTACTGGGTTAGGTAGCATTTTAGATATTGAGACTGGAGTCTGCTTTGCACACTTCCTATCCTGTCCCTATAGGTCCCTGAAACGTTCACTGGTCCTCAAGGTCTACCATCACTGGAATCTCCTACATCCTCAACTTCTCTTACTGTCTCCATCACCCACAATTCAAGCTGACTCTTTAACTCCTTTCCCAATCCCAGAGCTGCTGCTGGAGTTCTTTCTCCAAGCAGGGAGGTGTCAGCCTTGCTCATCATTGCAGCTTCCAGATCATTCTCAAGCCACTGGGCTCCACCTCCCACCACCCCTTCAATGGTGCAGTCATCTCCCACTGCACCCCGTCCCTTCCCCAATTCCCCTTCCTTCCGTTGAGTTTAGAAGTCAGCAGTTCTTAACCTGTGGGTCGAGACCCCTTTGGGAGTCGAACAACCCTTTCACAGGGGTTGCCCGATTTGTAACAGTAGCAACATTAGTTATGAAGTAGCAACGCAATTAAGTTTATGGTTGGGGGGGTCACCACAACATGAGGAACTGTATTAAAGGGTCGTGGCATTAGGAAGGTTGAGAACCACTGCATTAAGTGCTCATTTTATACCAGGCTATGTTCTAACTGTTCATATATAAATGATATCTATAGTTGTATCAATATAACCTTTCAATAACTTTTTGAAGCAGGCATTATCAGCCCTCTCCCACCCCTTTCTTAAACCAGACAAGTTAACTAACTTAAAGACCATCTACATCCCTCCCAGGCTCTGACTGACTTTTAAAATCCATGTTCTTAGATCTCCATGCTACACTACTTCACTTAGCACTTGTAACACTGAAAAGTTTAGCATATCTTAGACCAGTGTTTCTCCCTCGCTCATTCAATCTCCCCAATATTCTTCCGGTCTTAGTTTCTGATCATTTAATTCACATTCCTTGACATCTTCGCCTCCAAAGATTTTTATCCTCTGCTCTTCTTTAGCTCTTCAATGTCAGCCTTTTTATTACCAATATGGGCAACTCCTCTATTACTTCAGTTTTTTGTATCTCATTCTATATAACTTCTTACTTTCTAGGCTGCTGCTTTTAAATTCCCAAACCAATAGTACTTTGATCTCTCTGGGACTTTCAGTCTGTGGATGCTAAAACCTTTCCACTCTCTCTCACCTCCTGATCGTCTGTCTCTCTCTTCCTTATTCAGCCTGAATTCTGTGGCTCATCAGTCCAAACCTCCTCACAGACCCCTCTCTCTCACTGTACTTGCTGATTCTCCACACTATTTTATACCGTCTCCTCTTTCCTGAAACTCCCAACTCCTGCTCCCACATGCCCCCAGCCAGTTGATGACCACATTTCCTCCTTAGTCTGATATTAGAAGCCATCAGAAGAGAACATCCACAAAATCTCACTACAGCACTTACTCACTTATGCAGATCTGAAGCCATATGGTCATTCTTTAAAAAAAAAATTAGTTGGGAGTTAATATATATATCATTCCATAGCTCTATCATGTCAAGCAGTATTGTACAATTGCTACCACAATCAGTTTCCAGACTAGGCATTCTTGTTTTACAAGTCTGCTCTGTCCTTCAGGACTCCTGGTAGTATAATGGTAACTCATTAGGCTATAACCACAGGTCAGAAGGTCGAAACCACCAGCAACCTCTCCAGGGGAGAAAGACGAGGCTTTCTACTCCCGTACAGCCGACCAACCTCAGAAACCCACGGAGGCAGTTTGATTCTGCCCTGCAGGGTTGCTATGAGTTAGAATTGGTTCATCCGTTTATTTTTCCTCTGTCCAAAACAGTAGCTACTGGCCACATGTGGCCACAGTATATCTGATCTGTAACTAGAACAACCACAATGAAGCTTAAATTTTGATTTAACTTAAAACCGAAGCAATGAAAAGTTATCTCTCTGTCCAATACAATTTTGTTTTGTAGAATTACACTTACTATTTTAACCCTGAGAAATTTTGCATCCGCACTGCGATGTGCTGTTGGTGTTAAATATAAACTGGATGTTGATGGTATGGTAAGAGTAAGAATGCAAAATATCTCCGGTCCCCAACAACGTCCACACTGTTAAATAGAAACGCGAATTCTCGGCCCTTCTTTTCTTTTTTCTTTTTTTTTCTCGGCCCTTCTTTTCATGGACTTGCTAATTTGGTCTGTGAGTTGGTCATTCAGCGCCTTGAGAGTGGCTTCATCGCTCCCGGGCCCACCACCCTTTCCTCCCTCCTTCCTCGAAGGCAGGTCACCTCCTTTTCAATCTCCTTGGCTCGGACTCATCTCCCCGACCTCCCTCGGCCCCAATCTTTGGACATGGTTTTTCCCTTCCACCATTCACTCCTTTACAAGTTAAGGCCAATTTTGCAGCTTTCAACGTCAGCTCTCTGTTTCCGAAAACCCAATTTGTTAATGTAACACGGACCTCCCTAGAACCAAGCCAGAGCGGGAGGACTCCTGGGAGAAACCCAGAAAGTACTAAGGGTCGATGTGCTGTGGGAGGACCTGTGAGTCCGGACACTTTGGGGGTGAGGTAGGGGTAGGGATAACGAGCTGGGCCTGACCTGTCGGACGGCGCGCAGCAGGGAGCCCAGCATGGAGGCCGCCATCTTGTCCGCCGTAAACGTCAAAAACTCTAGAGGGCGGAGCGGAATCCGGTAGAGTCTAAGTACTTCCGGTCCCACGCTGGTGCCATCCGGGCGGATCTTTAGTTCTACCGGAAGGCGGGGTTAGGAGGTGGGATTACGTTCTCGCGGTACTTCACGGGATTTGGGCAGATTACAAATCGGTGGGAACAGGCTTGACTTTCCGGGCGCGGCAGTGTGACGCGCGTCATTACGAAACACTCTCAAACTACCGATGTCTCTACTCGCCTCCCTTGTGAGGCACCCATCGCTTCGGCGTCACCAACTTCCCTTCCCTCACTTTGCTCCCGGGCGCGTTCGGCTTGCGCCTCGTGCAGGGATCCGCCATGCAGTTCGTGTACCGCAGCCGGCCAGAAATCTAGCAATGATTACCATTCCCTCCACTGTCAACCGCCGGCAGGGCTTGCGCATCTCTCGCTGCAAAGGCTCTACAATTATTTCCATTTTTTAAATGGGGGGATTGAGGCTCACAGCGGTTCAGGAGCAACACCATATTCATAGTTAAATTGGGGTGTGAATCTAGATCGCGCTGAGGGGAAAGTGGGCCATTTCAGATCAGGCTCACATCACGTGTTACTGTGGTTCCTACTTGAGTTTCCCAAGTGGCTCTCGACTACAGTCTTGCTTTCTTCCAATGACTCAGCTGCCAATGATCTTTTTAAAAAAAATTCTACCCTCAATTTAAGACAACCATCTGATGTGTTTATGCTTTCTTTGCTTTTTTATGACGTGCCTTAGTATAGCAGGCATAGTTCTGCCTTAGTGAATGAGCGTTATTGGGAGTTTTGCCCTGTCACAATTGTGACACATAATTGTGCAACCATCCACACAATCAAATATAGAACATTTTCTTCTTTCTTGTACTCATTAATATTAGCTCCCCATTTTCACCTAACTCCTCCTCCACTCCACCCCTCAGCCAACACATTATTTAAGCACAATTATTTTTAATGTGCTTAAACCATTTAATTGTATGGGAAGTAAATTATAAATCAATAAAACTTTTAAAGTTAAACAAAAATCGAGCCTCTTCATTCTTTTTCTGTTCAAAACTCTACCATGACCCTCCACTACCAACTGGAGGAAAACACATTACATCAGACAGCTGATTGATAGGACCCCTCGTGGTCTACACTGAGCTGACCTTTTTAGTTTCATCCCGGCCCACCTTTTCCCTTACATTTTTGGCAGTTGGACCTGCTTGTTTCCTCAACTTGCTGAATGTTTTTACTTCCACACGTCTGTATACGCTACTTCCACTCCCCTGTTTTACCTCCAGCATAAGCCACTCAAGGCCTCCCTCAAATAGTCTTCAGGTGAAATGCTTTCTCTTCTCTGTTCTCTCAGAACCCCTACACATTTGTATCGATTAGGGCCCAAGACTATGTATGAGTCAGTTCTATGGGCAGGAGCGGTTAGTGGTGGGAATTCTCCCTACACGTGAAGAGTGCTTTGTGAGACTTGTTTACCTTGTGTCTCCATCTTTGTGGGTAGCTCATGGTACACTTCACTCAACAAGGTGAGGGTGGAACGCCCTAGGGAATTGTGTCAGTCCAGGTAGACTAGATGAGCAAATTCAGACACTCATATATGTGTATAAGAAAGAGGTTTATATACAAGAGCAGTTGGATACTGAGAAAACATCCCAGCCCAGTCCAGATCAATTCCATAAGTCCAATATTAGCCCATATGTCTGATACCAGTTTATAAAGTTCTCTTCAGACTCATGAAACACATGCAATGATGCCAAATTCAAGAAGATCACAGGCCGGTAGATGGAAAGTCTTGTGGATCCAGTAGCATTGTAAGCATCTCAGTGCTGGCAGGGTCTCCACATGGCTTCTCCAGGTCCAGGGTTCTGACTGCATCAGGGTAGGTCCGGTGGCTTCTCCTCAGGGATGTCTCCCAGGGAGTGAGCCAAGAGAGAGAGTCTGTCTCCTGCCTCCAAGCAGGCAAATGCAGGATTTCCCAGAATTCTCAGGAGAAGGCCATGCCCACACAGAGATCTCACTGGCTATGATCTGACAGGCTAGACTCCACCCTTACACTCTCCTCTCAAATTGACACCAGATTATGTAACTACCACTGGAATGAATACCGTATATACTCGAGTATAAGCTGACCGGAATATCAGCCAAGGCACCTAATTTTATCACAAAAACTACATTAAAAATGTGCTGAAAACTTGACTTATACATTAGTATATACGGTATGTTAAATAAAATGGGGGAGAGGAAAGAAAACAAGACTATGATCCGAGATTGTGATGACAAACGGTGGTAAGTCTTCCTGAGTTAATGTACCGAGTTTGTACATTTTCAATCAATATCCCCATGAGAGCTTTCTTAATAAATAAAAAAGAGAGAGCTTTTTCAATAAAATTATTCTAAAGTATAAATAAGAGACTAAATGAGATGGCATGTGGTAGAAAGCTATGACACTTTTTAGGAGAAATTTGGATAGAGTCTTACTCTGCCAGATACTATAATGCCATAGGTGAAGGGGCTTCCAAAAGTTCATGGAAAAACACAATAGAAATATAACAGACTTTTTCCATGAACTTTTTGAAGCCCCATCATATTGTAAAGCCATCATGGGTAAGCTAGTGTGGCCTGGGTACCACAATGAACAGACAGATGAAGGAACTAGAACAGATAAGCTAGAAAGATACGGCAGTACAATAGTATATATATATATTAAATCATTTTATTGGGGGCTCATACAATTCTTATCACAATCCATACATACATCCATTGTGTCAAGCACATATGTACATTTGTTG